GTTGTAACTAAGTGAAACGTTAAGGATATGACGTAACTAATAATAGATACAAAAATAAAGTGTTCGTGGGCGGGGCTGATAAGCCTTCCTTTACAATCAGTATGTATGAGAATTCAATATTTGCACGCAATAACATTGCCATTTTAATGTTAAAAACACTATTCGCACCACTCCCTTACAAAGCGAGTATAAAATAATAAGGTCGCTGTCAGATCGGCCTCACTCAGTTTCAAATGAACCTCTTTGTAGCAATCAATGGCTTCCTATATACACTTATTTCAATAAACGTTATCATCACCAAAGGCAATAGGGATAGGTCATTCCGACATTGAAATGGTATCATTGAATACAACGAACATTAAATCAGTCTCATCATTAAGGTCCATTTCTTGACCAGAATAAGAAGCAGAAACAGAAGTCATTTCAGCTATTCTTGGATCTTGGAATGATCTACCTCCTATCACTTTTTGACTATTGCCTATCGCCTATCGCCTATCGCCTATCGCTTTCGATGATGAAAACCTTTTTTTGAAACAGGTGTATTCCTTTGGTTCGGTTAGCCTCTTGTGCTCACCCTCTCTAACTAGCAACTGTGTTCAGTCTTTCCTCCATCCCCTTTGTCAGTTTCTTTCTGCTCCATTTTAACTGAACGTGGTTGAAATTATCTCATTCTTATTTATTAAGGGTGAAAGGGACCGATGCGAATAGGATACTATTACCTATCAACAAAATAATATCATTCGCCATTGCAGCAATTAAATTGGTTTTGGTGGATGTCAATAAGGCATTTCCTTTAAGACGTATGATGTATTTTGCGAAATCAGCATGGAATCACTTTGATTGACATCTAACCAAAATTGCATGATTTCCCACGTGATTGGGAAGCGCTGTAACATATGATCATCATCAACAATCACAACAAAATTAAGCAAAGCATTCATAGGAAAGATGACGGTCAGATGATGATAATATTGAGATAAATGATAAGTAGATGGTAATGTTTGAATCTGTTGCTTAATTTTGTTGTGATTAAAATACCTTATTACTGTAGGAAGAATTTCAGCTGATGCAACATAAATAGTGCAAAATGAAATGGATATACAGAATTTGCCGAGCACAGCTCCAGTGATCCTAATGGCCTGGTGTCCTAAACAACAGAGTAACAACACTTTGAATGTACACACTGTAATAATTAAGAGACCGAGTGCAGTTCGAACTTTCGTGATCAATAAAAACAGACTTTCATGTCTTGGAAAACTTTCATTCAGCAGTAAAACGTAAAATGGGCTTCCTTTATTAACGACAAAGAAGATTACTTAGGACAAAAGACTGTATAACAATAAGAAAATGCATGAATACGTGTTGACTACATGCGTTGATTTATTGTGTGCACTACACGCACTTGAGTGTATTCACCGCGGTGACTGCCCGCGGAAGTAGCGCGTGTGTACATATTAACATCCCTGTGAGCTGTACTGTATTTACCATATAGCATGTACATGTAAATAACACTGCATGTGCAGAAAAAAAAAATCAATTTAAGGATATAATGGCCAGCTCAATAAATAACCTTCTCACCTGTGTCCTCCGATTGAGGAATTGCTGAAACAAGTACACAAAACAATGAAGCTAACACCAGTCCAAAGGATAGTGCTCTTTTCCTACCAAACAAGCCACAACTCTTTGCATGTCTGTAAAATAAAAAGTAAACAATAAAAAGCTTGAATTGTATTGCATTGAATTGAAAAAGGTACTTTACTGGCAGAACCTCCATTCTTTGTTTGCACGTTACGTCATCGTGGCCATGCATGTTGGTACCATTTAACAAAAGATTTCTCATTAGCATCCATTGTTAACGGTACCACAAAGGCCACCATGTTTTTGTCTTTTAACTCTCTTGGGAATGCTTGCAACCCATCAATTAACTCCTCCATGCAAGAACAGAGAAATTAATTTAAAGGCGGAGGCTCTGTCACCAGGGTATGAAAAAGGAAGGTCTATAGGAACAATGTGATAGGTTGTAATGGATTTAGATGATAAATACTGTACCCAGGCAGGTAATTTAATATGTAAAATATTATTGATGATGAAATATTATTGACTTTCATAACAAAATCATTGAGAGACAAAATACAGNTGTTCTGACAGAAAAAAGGAATGTAGTACTAACATAAATATACACCTTATTGAAAAAACGTAGTCGGGTTCGAGAAGTTCATATCATCGAAGCTAAGACCGAAAAGGATTTTGGGTACTCTGAAATAAGTATTATATTTGCATATAGATAGTATTATATTTGCATATAGATAGTATTATATTTGCATATAGATAGTATTATATTTGCATATAGATAGTATTATATTTGCGTATAGACATTTAAAAATGCACAGTAGCAAAGTCAGTCGACCTGGATTAAGAACATGCCAAAGCCATGATGCATAAAATGTGCACAGCAAGGGAAAACTGCAATACGCATGAAATTAGCATAATTATTGTTTGTCTTCCCATGCTCCCCTTCGGTCTTAGCTTTGATGATGTAACCTTTTTTTGAACCCAACAACGTTTTTTTAATTAGGTGTATAATGTGAAATTAAACATAGGTCAAAACCTCACACTTAATTCTAATTTGATCTGTGACTTTACCATGCCTTGAATTACAGAAAGTACCAGTGAGACTGGAAAATAAAGTGAGAAAATTTAGAGATTCCTCAAATACTTACCAAAAGAATAACAAAGGGAGCCATTGATGCACCAAACTGGTCAAATACAGCCATACTACCCATGCCAACATTCCTGAAAACACAARCWCACARTGRGAGAAAATRYAAYATGGTTGGGCTTCCTGTAGTAAGRGATTTAGAAARTRAAAGGRAAACAGAAATCTCATTTTTGCTATTTATCGAATCTTCTTTTATTTTCCAATTTTTCAGTTTTTCCATTTCAATTAAATCAGTACATGTATGAGAGTTCAACAGTTGTATGCAATATCATTGTCATTTTAATGTTACCGCCATTTGCATTGCTACGAGGCCAGCCCAGACAAAATTCGTGACATGCACTTTGCAATAGACTGCCGTCAATCAAACACGTTGACGTCATTTACACGCATTTGGATCAGGCCGGATAGGCCTGGTGAGTGTGGCTCATAATACTTGTAAACAATCGACAAGTTTTGGCGCCTTTTGAATCACACACATGTCCCTGATTTTGTCTGGGGTGGCTGCGTAGCAATGCAAATGGCGGTAAAATGTCATGGAATCACTATGATTGACATCTAACCAAAATTGCATGATTTCCCACATGTGATTGGGAAGTGCTGTAACATATAATCATCATCAACAATCACAATAAAATTAAGCAAATAGAAAAGATGATGGTCAGATATGATGATAATATTGAAATAAATGATAAGTAGATGGTAATGTTTGAATCTGTTGCTTAATTTTGTTGKGATTAAAATACCTTATTACTGTAGGAAGAATTTCAGCTGATGCAACATAAATAGTGCAAAATGAAATGGATATACAGAATTTGCCAAGCACAGCTCCAGTGATCCTAATGGCCTGGTGTCCTAAACAACAGAGTAACAACACTTTGAATGTACACACTGTAATAATCAAGAGACCGAGTGCAGTTCGAACTTTCGTGATCAACAAAAACAGACTTTCATGTCTTGGAAAACTTTCATTCAGCAGTAAAACGTAAAATGGGCTTCCTTTATTAACGACAAAGAAGATTACTTAGGACAAAAGACTGTATAACAATAAGAAAATGCATGAATACGTGTTGACTACATGCGTTGATTTATTGTGTGCACTACACGCACTTGAGTGTATTCACCGTGGTGACTGCCAGCGGAAGTAGCGCGTGTGTACATGTTAACATCCCTGTGAGCTGTACTGTATTTACCATATAGCATGTACATGTAAATWACACTGCATGTGCAGAAAAAAAAATCAATTTAAGGATATAATGGCCTGCTCAATAAATAACCTTCTCACCTGTGTCCTCCGATTGAGGAATTGCTGAAACAAGTACACAAAACAATGAAGCTAACACCAGTCCAAAGGATAGTGCTCTTTTCCTACCAAACAAGCCAAAACTCTTTGCATGTCTGTAAAATAAAAAGTAAAACAATAAAAAGCTTGAATTGTATTGCATTGAATTGAAAAAGGTACTTTACTGGCAGAACCTCCATTCTTTGTTTGCACGTTACGTCATCGTGGCCATGCATGTTGGTACCATTTAACAAAAGATTTCTCATTAGCATCCACTGTTAACGGTACCACAAAGGCCACCATGTTTTTGTCTTTTAACTCTCTTGGGATTGCTTGCAACCCATCAATTAACTCCTCCATGCACGAACAGAGAAATTAATTTAAAGGCGGAGGCTCTGTCACCAGGGTATGAAAAAGGAAGGTCTATAGGAACAATGTGATAGGTTGTAATGGATTTAGATGATAAATACTGTACCCAGGCAGGTAATTTAATATGTAAAATATTATTGATGTTGAAATATTGACTTTTATAACAAAATCATTGAGAGACAAAATACAGTAGGGGTACATGTATTACACTAGGAAAATTTATTGCTTGCAGAAAGCAGAACTTGATTCTGTACTTTTGCAAAAATATTGAGAAAAAAAAAAAATTGGAAGACACACTTCATATGGCTTAAAATAATGGCTGGTTAGTTGCTGGTCATGATGACAGGCCAAATTAGTTTTAGCACTGTCAAACTGTGCCTCATTTTTGGCTCAACCTATACTAGTCAAAATGACTGGCAAGGAAAAGACTGGACAGGTCCCAATCATTCTGCCCTACACTGTCTGATAACTGGCCATTATATATGTTACATATTTCTAATTCAACTTGTCTTGTCACAAAATTGTAAGAAGCTGCAAGAAATATCTTGTGTCTAGTGTCACAGTAGTAAAGTAGTGTGCATACAATATAAATATCTAATGAAAAACTTGGTAAGAAATTCCACAAATTTGCTCAAATTAGTAAATTACATGTAAGTATTCCTCAGTAGAGTTTATACCTACAAAACTTTGCACTATTTTGTACAATTTTGTTAGTTAATTTTTTCACAGATATATGGTATGCACTCTAGTAGAACGGTGTAAACCAAGGTGCCCCTTGTAAGTTGTACACCATTTATTTTCTATTMAACTCACAAATTCATGAACCAAATGGCAAAGATGTTAGCAGGAAATTCCACAAGAGTGGTCAAGAAGAAGTTAAGATAGAGACTGCCACCAAGTGCACCAGCGCTTAGAGTAACACCATAGTAAACCATTGAGTTGGTGAACCTAATAYAGATAGTACAGTAAATACATTGTGTAGTTCCAGAAAATATCCATACCCCCAACTATAGAGGGAATAGACCCTTGTGTTTCTTGATTACAGACTCATTTCCTCAGGCTTAGCCTCAATTTTGTGAAGAATATTCACGTGTTCCAATCAAGATCCATCAAGTTTCAAAGTGTTCGTATTGTTGAAGTTGTGCATTCTTTACTTTACTGTTGGTATGTGTGGCTAATTATTAGACACTGATTTGAGGCTAAGCGTGAGTAAATGAGTCTGTAATCAAGAAACACATCAGTAATTTGGCACTTGAAACTGGACTATTGGAAATTTTGGTGGTAGGGGAGTCAAAAAAAGAACAAAATAACAGAGTTTGTATAAAAGAAAATTGGAAGTTCCTGGGGACAGGGGGACCTTTTACAAATTCCYAACATGGACATCAAAGGGAGAGAAAAAAGTGTCAGTAAAATAGGGGTGTCCTTTAAT